TTTTATCTGTTTTATTACACTTTTCAAAGAACTAATTATTTGTTTCATTCATTTTTTTTTTTCTGTATTTTGCTTTTCAGTTTTCAATCCATTGATTTTGGCATTCATCTTTATTCCTTCTACCTGTCTTGGGTTTAATTAGCTCTTATTTTTCGAGTTTTGAAAGTAGAAGCTTAATCTTAGAAAATGTTATTCATTTCTAATAAACATTTAATGCTACAACATTCCCTGAAGCGCTGCTTGCTTTAGCTGTGTCCTATAAATTTTGACATAGTTTGCATTTTCATTCAAAACATGTTCTAATTTCCTTTGTGATTTACTTGACACATGAGCTTAGAAGTACATTACTTTCTAAATATTTAAAATATTTTAAATTGTTTTTAGATATCTCTTAAGGATTTCTATCTTAATTCTGTTGTCGGAGACCTTTTTTAAATGACATCAATAGTTTTAAAATTTGTTAAGTTTTTCGGGGGTCTAGAATATGATCAATCTTGCTGAATGTTCCAAGTGTACTTGAAAGGCTGTGCTGTTGGGTAGAATGTTCTCTACGTGTCAGATAGGTCAAGATTGTTGATAGTAGTGCTCAGGTCTTCTACCCTTACTGACTTTTGCCCACTTGTTCTATCAGTTACTGAGAGGTGGGTGTTGAATTATCCAGCAATATTTATTGATTTGTCTCTTTTCCTTTTCTAGTTTTGTTTTATATATTTTGAAGTTCTATTAGGATTATTATGTGTTCTTGATGAACTGACACCTCAATCATTGTTTTAAAATGTTTTTAGTTTTGAGTTGGGTTCTCACTCTGTTGCCCAGGCTGAATGCAGTGGCACAATCACAGTTCACCACAGGCTTGACCTCCTCGGCTCCAGTGATCCTTCTGCCTCAGTCTCCTGAGTAGCTTAGACTATAGGTGTGTGCCACCACACCTGGCTAATTTTTCAGGTTTTTTATAGAGTTGTGGTCTTGCTTTGTTGCCCAGGCTGGATTTGAACTCTTAGGCTCAAGCAATTCTCTCATCTCAGTCTCTCAAAGGGTTGGGATTACAGGCATGAGCCACGGTACCTGGCTGGCAGTATTTATTCATTGAAATTACTTTTGAATTTCAGATACAAAAGTAGCAAGTATGCCCTTTAGGACTTTTTTGTTTAAATTAAGAACACCATCCCACATGGCTGTTTGAGATGCCACCACTTTCTTTAGCAGAAAGATCAGTAAAGGCATCTCAGTTCCCTCTCTTTAGAACATAGGGTACTTCCTAAACTTTTATAAATGACAGTTTCCCTTTTAGAAGACTATCTTTCATCAGAAGGAAATATAAAAAAAAATGCTAACAGTGGTTATTGATAACCAGTATGATTATGGGTGATTTTAAATATTTTTTATTTATATTTTCCAAATAATCAATATTAAGTACGTATATGGTAACCATCAGTGAAAAAAAAAAACTTTTTATAGATGTAGGAAAGACTGTTTTTAATTTCAGTCCTTTCTCTACTATTTTAAACTACAGAAGGGAAAGGAGACAAATTACCCTAATAGTCTTTCAGTGTTTGATTTATGTTACCAACATCAAGTCGATTTCCTTAGCAATGGACGATTCCTCTGCCTTCTTAAAACTTAACGCAAATACCTTAAAGACCAAGGTTAGAAGCATCATACCTGTTAGAAAATCCAGGGTTGCAACTTTTGAAATCTAAATCCAAATACTAAAAATATATTATATATATATGTGTGTATGTGTGTGTATATATATACTTTTTTTGAACCTGTAGTTTACTTTAAGGCCAGTTTTCTTAACCTGCAAGGGACCAAGACCCAACTCAAAAAGGCTCAGGCATTAAGGGATATTTAGTAGCTCACAGAATCTTAAGACAAGCTGAACATTCAAACTGCAGGAAAGTGGGAGCACAGTTGCACCTCAGGAACAGATGGAATAAGGAACTAACAGGCGTCTGGAATCTGTCTCTGCTTTATTTTCTATCACCTCACACTGTCATGACAAGCCAAGTAACAGGACCATCCACAAGTTCTAAGGCCTCACACCACCAGCTTGCCAACATTACAGGGGGCCTCTTTCCAGAGAAGGGAGGCCCATGGAAGAGCCCAGACTTACCCAATCAACTGTGCGTGAGAAATGAGGGTATGTAAGATGATGCTCAATCCATCTTGACCTGTGTGCTCACTGTGGCCAGATGACCAGTTTCCAGAAAAAATGCAGTCCCCAAGAGACAAGTGAGCATGTTGAGCAGACAGTAATCTTTATCACTTCAATTTCTCCTAACATGTATGTGACAGAGTACCAAAACTATGTCTAAGCTGTATCATCCTTTTATAAGTAGCATATAATGAATTTCATAAAGACGTTTTAGCAAATTAAAAAGAATAATTATATTATCTCTTGCATATCTGATTGGAGGTTCCTACCTCTTAAACACCAATAAATTACATAACTGATGATGTGCAAAGCTTTTCTAAAATGGCAAAGTCTCCAAAATATTTCAGATATGGTTTCTGGTCTCTGAGCAGAATATATGATAACTGCAAACAGTCAGAGTCCTATAAAGCACAAAGTGGAAATAGTAAAGGGTCTTGGATAGAGATCCATCTATCTATCTGTCTATCTATCTATGTTTTAAACGCTAGTCCAAACGTAATAGCTGTGTCCCTTTTGATTAAAATGACCACATGCGTGGGTGCGTCTTGGTGAAAAGATATACAGATAATAGCACACACTGTACAAATGGTGTATGTATCCAAAGTTCATAAAGATTCTATTTGATAATGGGCTTGAGAATGTATTATTTTACACTTTTTTTCATTATTTTTTCAGTTTGCTCTAATTGAGTATTTTTTATAATGAAAATTTTAAAATGATTTTGTCTTGTTTTAGATGAAGAGTTGCTGTAAAGTGTTCAGAAGTAGTATAGGTATTAATCATATATGACACCATAACTGTGCTCCTAAAATAATGTACAGCAAATAAATTTTAGTATTCGATGGTAATATCAGGAGCATTTCAGCACTTGGATACATTATTTAGTAGGTAAAGGAAATAACCACTTTCTAATTTGTATCTTTCCAAAGTGTGGGTGTTTACAGGACAGATTTTTATAGAGGGCTAGGCCTGTATCTACTTCCGTTAATAATGAATTCCAGAAGATTCATGGTCTGGCCTGTGAGATGCACCTACATTATGTCTAAAATCTGTGGGCAATTTTGATTGTGAAAAACTGAGTATCAAGAGGAAACTGTAGGCAATCTTTAAGCATCTTTCCTGCTATATGCTCTCCAAACTGCAGAAGAACCTGGTGGGTAGGAAACAGGTCAAAAAGGAAGACTATATTTCTAGCTCATGGTCACAGACCTGTAGCTTCACAAAAAGAGCACTTTTCTTTGACAAAGCCATTCATTTCCCTAAGAAGCACAGGCTGGGAATGTATTTTTTGAACTTATGTTACATTGTGAAAGGGGATGCAGTTGATTTTAGGTTGCTGAGTTCAGATTCCAATAGCTGATCTGTCACTGACCTTGAATTGTTACGTCCAATAGTTGTGAGGGTTGCAGGAAATTGAGAGAAAGCAAGCCAACGCTTTTTTCCCCCCACCCGTATACTGAAATAGGTATTCTCCAGGGATGGCACCAGTTCACTGAGTATGAAGAAGTGATTGCCCTTGTTTAGAACTTCATGGAACACTTCCTGACAGCCCTGTTTGGAGAAATGAATCCCCCCCTTATCAGCCTAGTAATGAACACTTGATAAAAATCTCCCTCTCATCCTACAGAAATAAATCTGCATCTAACACCAGAAAATCAATAACATATCAATGTTTTCAACTATCGTGCATGGGTCCCATTGTGTACTACTCTGTCCAGAGCTATGAGTTTTCAATCACATCAATCTACCTCAGCAATAATGTAACCTGCAATATATCATTACCGCATGAACCAGTAGGCATATGCTGATGTTATCAATTCCAAACTAGGAAAAACCATGAAGTGACAATGTTGTCCAAGGACAGCAGCTGCTGACAATGAAGAGAGAACACTTCAAAGGAAAAGCAATTACATAAACCCTGAAGTACTCTAAGTATGTAGTAGATGAGATGCAATAAATAACAATCAGTCACATCACCTCTTTGTGACCATTATTCACCTTCAGTGAGAAGCACAGGGTCAGGGAACAGGTCCTTTTTTTCAAGAAGGTGACAACTGTTCAGTATCTCAAAGAAATACTAAAAAAGATTCAAGGAAGCAGTACCAATCTTTACAGTTTGTAAAAGCTCAGGCTAAGCCCAGAAAAGACAGACTGAGATTTGATAGACATATTAACTCATAAACCCTTTTCATTTTCCAGCAAAAATTAAATATGTGATTGTGCATTGCAATAATATAAATTTTGACATTTTTTAAATCATTAAGTCAACCAAGGTAGTAGATTGCTTGTCCTTCTTTGCAAACAGAATAGCCATGAATTTCCATAAGGACTGTAAAATAATGGAGAACCTGTTATTGCTGTGGAAAGCTTTTGAATTCTGTAAGTAGTTTCCAAATTCTGTTCAAGCATTCAGAGAAAGAAGTCAGAAAAATATAAAAATCTAACGATATATTTAAGCCAAACTAGGGCCTGTCACAAATGCACAGTAACTGATGTCACTGAACGCAATAAACATTGGCGAAAACAAGGGGAGACTGGTGGTGTACAGTTTGGGAAATAACAAAACAGTGATGTGTTGCTCTAATATATCTTGGGAAGCTCTGCTAGCCTATCAGTTTTTTTAAGAGAAATAAATTGACTAGCTTCCAAGTAACGATGGCATCACAATTTATTCTTCTGCTTATCTCTTTCCATGATAGAATCACCTCTTATATAAGAGCTTTCTTAAAAAAAATAGAGTATTTCCTATATGATTAAATGTGACACCTGGCAAACTCCAATAAAGCCCTCTATGCATCTTTAAACACAGAGAGATAAGATGTATTGTATAGGTTTATCTTACCGTAAAGCTTTTGGCCCAAAGTACATAAAGAGCTCCTTCCCCAAAGTTTCCACGCCACTGTAAACATATCCATTAAGCAGTCCTGAGAAATTCCAGCTGCAATCTTTATTATTCAGCTCAGCAGCCTAGTAGAAAATACATACACACATGTAAACTCACACACACAAACTCTAAACAAAATTATAATTTAATTCTTAAATGTGTTTATATTACTCCATGCCCAGGTGCATTCCAATGAGAAGAATAATCTCCAGCAAGTCAAGTAATGTAATCAGTTGTTTACATACATTTTGTCAAATTACTATGCAGTCATTTAAAGAGAGGCCAAAAAAATTAAGTAAAAAAAAGTAACTGGCAGACAATCAAAATGCGTTTCTCACAGGACCATCTAGCTCTATGTATGCAAGAAAAAAAACACAGGAATGCAATGTGAATGTTTTAAAACTAAAAACTGGAATACAGATTCTTCAGGAATGTAGACAAGTTCCCCAAAAGAGTAGTTAGATAAAATCAGCTAAAAATAACAGATAAAATATGAAAATATTTTTAACTACATTGATGAACTTTTAAACGAGTAAGAAATAAGAAGCAGTCAAAAACTAAGTAAAAGTGGAAGAGACCATGAGAGGCCGGTCAGCAGAGCCCTGAAGCCAGCTTTTATCCTAAGGGCATTTCCTAATAAACCTAAGGAATGAGAGCTTCAATTTTCATAGTCTTGTGGGGACAAGCAGAATCAGACATCAAGCCTGGGATGCCCTTAGGAGGGGAATCTAATTCAAGACTCACCCTGCTCCAATCACAATGTTAAGAATAAAGAAAAAATAAACTCTTACTCCCTTTCCTTCATCCGCCTTGCAAAATCAATCAGTGTGTTGTTAGTACATGACAGCACAATACTTGTACTAAACACTATAAGAAAAGCAAATTGTAAACATGCATAAACATAAAGCAAACATAGCATAGATTCTTCAATGGGGGAAGAAAAGAAAATGGGATTTGATTTAGACATCAAAACTGTTAAACTCCCCAGGCTCGGAGGCTCAGCCCGTAATCCTAGTGCTTTGGGAGACCAAGGTGAGTCGATTGTCTGAGCCTGCGGGTTCGAGACCCGCCTGGGCAACTTGGCGAGACCTCATCTTCTCTATAATAAATCAAAAAAAAAAAAAAAAAAAATTAGCCAGGCGTGGTAGCGTGCGCCTGTAGTTCCAGCTCCTTGGAAGGCTGAGGCGGAAGGATCGCCAGAGGTCCAGCAGGTTGAGGCTGCGGTGGCCAGGAGCGGCCACTGTACGCCAGTCTGAGTGACAGAGTGAGACTCCAACTCAAAAAAAAAAAAAAAAAAGCTGTTAAACCATTATACATATTGGTGATCTCTGTACCATTAAGTCATTAGTTTTTGTTTTATTTCAATTTAACAGATGGGGTTTCACTCTCTCACTTTGTTGCCCAGTTGCACGATCATAGCTAGCCACAGCATCAACCTCCTTGGCTCAAGTGATCCTCCTGCCTGTCTCCAGAACAGCTAGGACTAAAGGCCCAGGCCACTGCATCTGTCAAATCGTTTTATGGGCGGGGGGGGATGGGGGGATGGGTATCAATTTGTTTCCCAAGTTGGAGTGCAACGGCATGATCATAGCTCATAGCTCATAAACTCATTTGCAGCCTCAACCTCCTGGGCTCGAGCTGTTCCTCCACCTCAGCCTCCTAAGTAGCTGGGATTACAGCCACCATGCCTGGTTAATTTATCGATGTATTTATTTATTTTTGTAGAGACAGGGTCTTGCTATGTTGCCTAGGCTGGTCTCAAACTTCTGGCCTCAAGTGATCCTCCCATCTTGGCCTCCCAAAGTGGTAGGATTACAGATGTGAGCCACACACGCCCAGTCATTTTTTTTATTCTTTAGATATGTTTTATAAACATTATTTAATTTATACTTAAAATTTAACAAAAAAATTTAAAACTCAGAAATGTATAACTATTGTATAGGATAAACTAGACTATATATAATCATATCTACACATTAATTCTTAATCTAAGGTAATATACATATTTATGCCAAACTTATTTTTCCTTTTTCTCAAATGAGTCTAAGGATCCTCAGAAGACACTAGATGAAATCTTGGAGGATAGGGGGAAATGTCAGGAAGTAATTATAGAGTAGCTTTAAATATAGAGCCTAGAAGCAAGTCACTTTTTTTCAACTTAAGGTGGAGTGATATTGCTAAGTGATTCTCAAACTTCTGATTTACAGACATCAGTGATTGTAAATGCACGTCCACTCTATTCTTTATTTTACTAAATTGGTCCTTGTTAAGATACAACTATAATACTTAGCTCAAAGAGAAAATGAGACAGTGAAAAAAGAAAAGTATTTAGGCCAGACACTATTCTTCCACTAAACCCTTTCAAATTTGAAGCAGTTACAGTCAATGCCAGAATTTTCCAACTGCCTAAAGTTCAGGGAACAGGTTTTAAATCCCTTCTTTGTATTTGTACGGGGTGGGGGGGTGCTTGATAAATCATAGGTTTAAAATGACCAATAAATAATTGCACAGGAGTAATTAAAAATGACAGAAGTGACTTCCAGTGCTTCACAAATCACTAAGAGAACCTGTGGGAGTGTCTAACATCTGGAACTACAGGTGCATATCCCACCAAATCCTCAGAACTTCCATCTTTAATTTACTTCTTTTTCTCTTTCCTGGATAAACTCTAGTACCTATCAAAGATTATCAAGCACGGGCAAGACAGAATTGAGTACTCAGAGAGAGAAAAACAGACTTTTACATCGGTCTTGTTTTTATAAGTGAATCTGTTAGAGCTCTGAACTGAGAAGCACTAAGAGTCGTGATGCTTTTCTGCCTACCGAGGGACTTTAAGTCACTTATATATACTTCAGGCCAAGTTTAGATTACAATGGTGGGTTTTAAGGTAGGTTTCTATGACAACCAATCAGTGTGTAACAAGTTCTTGTTAACTAGCCAGGACACTTTTAAGATGATAATATACAGAGCAGAGAGAGATCTCTGCCTCATTCATATACAGCAGGTTTCACGTTTTCAGATTTAAGTTCTGTGGCTCACACTTGTAAACCTTCATTTATAAATTCATGGTCAGAACCTTGTTTCCCCACCACTTGACTGTCAACAATCTCTTATCCTCCCCCAATATTCTTTACTAGCAACCAGTATTAACCATTCCCACTGAACCCTCTGAAGTCTTCTTCCAGCTTTCATTAGGGCTGTCAGCAGAAGCTGGTTGATGACTTTTGCTCCATTGCATATATAAGGCCATGTTTACACACACACACACACACACACACACACACACACACACACACAATAATAGTTTTCCCTAATTCTTGGTTAGGAGAGAATTTGCTACAGCTGTCATCCATGTGCTTTAATCTCCTTTAACCCTTTATGTTTTACAAGTTAAATCCAAAACTCACTATATATCTAATATCTGATTGGCCAATTAAAAAATTCTGTCAGATGTCACATCACTGTTTCTCACTGTACCTTCTTGCCCTTCTCCCCAAGATGGGAAACCATTTTATTAGTTTGCTCTCACTACTTGTCTGCTCTCTACCTAGATCCTGTCTTTCCTCTACCTAATTTTGACTTTACCATGCTTTATAATGGCTCCTGGAAAAGAGACAGATGAAGTAACCTTGAAATAGGCAGTGCTGTCACAATGCCTGATAAAATAGTAAATGAGTCCCAGTTGTCTCATGTGATGTCTGCTCATATCACTAAATTAACAGCTTTGATGAGAAATTACACCATTTACTTAAAAACTCTAAAAGCCAACAGCTAACAGCTATAACAGTTCATGTTATTCACTTGGCTGGGTCTACAACACTCACATCCTCTGACAACGTAGTATGTACATCTGGATAGACACTCCTCCCCATTAAAAATGAACCATTCATGGCTGTTTAATTGGATTCTCTTATTTTAGAAAAGTTTATTGACTCTTCACTATTTGTCAGGATTTGCTCTAAATGCTACAGATGTTATCAATAAGTAAAACAACTAAAATAAACCTGCCCTCATGAAGTTTATATTCTAGTAAGGGAAAAGAGTAGGCAATAAACACAATAACAGAGTATGTTACAATGTTTTGAAAAGAAATCAAGATGAGAAAGAGATAGCAAGACTGGATGTAGTAGGCTGCAATTTTAGATGTCAAGAGGATGTAGCAGGTTGCAATTTTAAAGAGGCAGTCATAATCACATTGGGGAACTGACATTTGAACAAGTAAATGAGCTGAGTGGACTACAATCTGGGTAAAGGAATGACAGTGCAAGAACCTGTTTTGCCACAGCAAAGAGAACAAGAGGAATAGTAGACAGATGAGGTTTGACATATAATAGGAATTAGACGGTCTGGCCCACAAGATTCAATCTAAGAAATGCTTTTTTTTTTTTCTCTGACTGTGATGAAATAGAAAAAAACCATTATCTACATTATTATTTTAAGTGCTATCTCTGGCTGCTGGATAGAATTTTGGCTGAAAGGGTTGAGGGTAAAAGTCAAGAAAGTTGGCAGTTGAGAGAAACTGCTGGGGGCGGGGAGACACAGCTCATCAACAAGAGTACCTGCATAATGAACATTTGTATACTTAACCTAAATTGTACCCCCATCTTTAAAATTAAAAATCATCACAAAAATTCAGACAAGAGATGAAAGAGACTTGGGGCATTATGGTAGCAGACATGGTGAAAGGTGGTCAGAATTTTTCACATATTTTGAAGCTAAAGAGAATGTGCTGGAAGACTGCGGAAGGTGAGGGAAAAGATCCACTGAGATGAGGAAGACTTGATTAGAACACATTGTGAGAGAAAAAGTAAAGAATAAAAGTTGAGATGTCTATCATACATGCAAGTGACTGTCCAGTAAGCAAATGGATACAGGGATCTGGAGTTTAGGAGGGATATCTGAGCTGAAGAAATAAATCTGTTCAATGATCAGCAGAGAAACGATTAACAAAGCTGTGATAATGAATGAGACAAGCAAGGGAGTACGCATAGATAGAGAAAAGGGACCCCACAATTGAAGTCTGGGACACTCCAACATTATAGTGTTGGAAATTAGAGGAGGAACCAGCAAAGAAATGTTATCA